CATAAGGGTGGCCATGTCGCTGCCTAACCCACACATTCGGCGATCGATGCAACATGGGGACGATCATCCCCATGAACATCCCCCCAGACATCCCTCCAAACATCCCCCCAACCATGCCACAACCCCATGAACATACATCACCCACCCACGCCCACAAACACCCACACAAACACAAACAGTGTCCTAGACATGGGCCCTCTCACAGTGCCCATGTCTTGGGGCCCTCTCACAGTGCCCATTTCTAGCCGATCGTTCCAATTTTATCGGATGTTCCCCCAAGGAATCGACACAGGCCCTCTCTGAGTGCCTGTGTCCTTGACATGGCCCCTTTCACAGTGCCTATGTCCTAGACATGGGCCCTCTCAGAGTGCTCATGCCTAGCTCATGGCTCCAGTGCTGTGGGATGATCCTCGATGGGCCCCCTCAGAGTCCCCATGTTAAAACTACGACTACAACTACTGAGCGATGTTCAAGGAGATGATCGGCATGTCCCTGGGGGCATGAGTTAGGCTGTAGGTGTCCAGCCTTAGCTTGCAAGACAGTGAAGCCAACTTCGAGAAGTTTCGGAGCTCGAGGTCTCACGGTTCTCAGCTGCACCAAGAGCCGAGAAAGGACGGAAAGGAGAGAACAGAGGGGCCAGTGTCTCTCGGCAACAGTGACACGATGGTCAAAGCCTGCAGACCCGAGAAAAGGAGTGGAAGATTCGATGTCGTCAGCAACCGTGGGAGAGTAGATGCCACTCGCAATTCCACCACATTCGGGACCTCTGAGTGACCGACAAGATCCACCGAGTGCGTGTACCGGCGGTGCTTTCGACTGCCAGGTCTGCCTTCCAAACTGATGTGAAGCATCGACACCTACACACATGTTTTCCGCATTAGTTGGATGCGCTGCCATGTCTTTCATGTCATCAGACGCCGATGCTCCATTGACACTTCCGGGGTGCTCAAACAACTCCCAACCGCTGAGTTCTGCGGACCTTCTTTCGAGCGGCTGCGCAGGGAGTCGCGCTCCTCAGGTCCACAAGGAGGAAAAACGAAGAGAGAAGGAGAGAGTAGCGAGTCAACGAGGCTGCGAGTGAGCAATCCAGCAGAGGGAGTGGTGAGTAGTGGCGACAGTGAAGCAGGTTGGTGCTTCAAGATCAGTGTTATTTTGAATGCACAATGCCACAGAAGCTGTCTCAAAGGGCGCTGCATGTTTGCGGCGTTCACCGCTGCTAAATCGCCAGAAAGAGAAGGGGAATGCTGCTCCTGCACGATTGCAAACTCAATCGCATGAAGCCATCGCAGAAACGCATAGCATTTGGACCTGCTCGAGGAAGAGGCGCCCTCTGAGGCACATGGGACCTGTGCCCGCTTGTCTCTGCTCGGCGACAAGAGGCCAGGATCCCATAAGGTCCAGACACGGCAGGAACCATTCCGCCAACGCTAGTCTCCGGCACAGAGCTCAAGCTCCTTCAACGAGACATGGAAGCATCTCGACAAAGTGCGGCCTGCTGATGAAATGCAGTTGAAGCCAACCTGTCATCTGGAGCTTGAGTAGATTCATTCTCGACGGTGTCGCTAAACATGTCCTGCCAAAGGGGCAGTCAACTGCGCAACAAATCTGTCACAAACCGCCCCCGCGCACCACCTTGCTGTCTTCTGCCTAGATTCCAGAAACCCCTCCGTCGCACGTAAGAGAATCGGACGCCCATCAGTTCAGCAGGGTCCTCTACAAAAAAACACACACTCCGCTACCCTAGACTATCCTACAGTGCCCGGGTACCCCACCCAGTGCCAGGCCCCCCCTACATTCGAGCCGAATGGCAGGGATGCAGCTTTGTCATGACATGCCATGCCACATTTCAAAAAGAGCAGCTCGAGAACAGTGAGCAGGGCCGCCATTTCCAGTTGCCGCTTCGCTTGCATCCTGCCAACACATGCCAACACCTTCGGCAAGGCTTAGTTCCAAGCTCCCCGACCTACACCTTTGGCCTCTGACCCGAAGCTTTCCATGTCCTGACAAGAACGCCAATCCTGAAACATGAGAGCCCGTTGGAGAGCCTTAGAGTGTGGAACAGCTTCGGGTCGTGCCCGCCCCAGTGCTGGGACCCTGAGTGAGACTGAGCTCTGCTGGAGCCCTAGCTCTCTTCACAGGAGAAAGCACCTTCAGAGCGGAACCAGGGCTGGGTGGCTGGGTCCCAAAACAGCTTCCATGATCGTCATCCTAGAGTGGGTCAAGGGCAGAACTGGGTGCTGTTTGCATAGGCTGCATACACTCTCTCAGCTGCCAGCAACGTGAACTCGGAGACTCTTCACTTCCCGAAGCAAGCAGAACTTGCAGCAACTAGCAAACTCCCGGAGCTTGCCCTCACCTGCGTCCGGCGAGGAGGCGGCGCTTCCGTCCAGCGCTCTAGGTCCGTTCGCCGTCCCATGCCTGCAGCTTGCAAGCCCTCGTGCCCCCATGTCTGGTCAGGCGTTCGGCGTTCAGGCGGAGCATCCGAACGATCACGCTCCCAGAGCATGTCGCGCCTCTGCAGGCGCGCATGGACGCCTTTGCAAGAAGCACAGGAGCATTGCAGACCCCAAACCCACTCCCAAGGAAACCTCATAACTCCCCACAACAAGGACAAAGCTCATGAGAATCAATTCGTTGCATTAAAAAAGGACAAAGCCCTTCACCGCTTCCCAAGCACCCAAAGTGCCTGGGCCGCCACAGCAACGCATCGCAGTGCCGCCTCTGCCCGGGCACTTAGGCGACGAAGGCCTCGGATCTCGAAGGAAATGCATCCAGCTGTGCCTTCTCGACCATGCTCCCGTGATGAGTCGGCATGGCAAGCAGGACGGGCACGGTCTCATTCGTACTGCCAGAACTGCTTATTTTTCGAAACTGGTTAACTGACTAGTGTTACTGCGAAGCCAATTTCATGAAGACCTCTGCACCGAGCCACCACTGCATATCCCCGTCTTTGATTCGAACACCATCTCATGAGAACAGAGGCCCGTGAAAGATTCCTGCTACATCCTGCTTGGTGGGAAGTCGGTTGGGGGACGGGGCCCTAAGACTTTAAGAAGCGGCGATGTGTGCGGGCACTTCTTTGAGGCTCCGGCGCTCGGCTTGGCCCTCTGCCCGTGCGGACCTCCTGGCCTCCCTGGCCTTGGCTTTCGCAACTCTGAGCAAAGAAGAGGCCCGCATGGCCCGCGGCCTCTGCCCGTTTCAGAGCTCGCTCTGCATAGGCCTCCGGAAGCTTTCAGAACTTCCAGCATGCCGCGGATGTTTAGACTCAGACACGGCGCCTCTGCCTCGTCTCTTGGGAGGCAGCGGCGTAGGCGGCGGCCCTTTTGATGCCTGGGCTCCTGGCTGGGGCTGTAGAAAAACGTTAAGAACCGAGCCGGGTGTGTACATTCAGATGTTCGAGAGACCGAGGTCCTGCGACCAGTTGTTGAAGATCTGGCCGAGGTGTCGCAGTCCAGCTTCTCGGACGTCTGCTACCTCAGCAGAGCCAAAAGGTCTTCCCTGTCTAGAGTAGGATTGAGCTTCATTGTCCTGGAGAGTGCCAAGGCATGCCTTTCACAACAAGTGCCGGGCCGTTCGCCGGAGGAAGATTGCCTCAAAAGAAAGCTGAAAAGCGCGGACGCTGCGAAGACATCTCCAATTGGCTGAAGCCTCCTCCATCGACTGCACAGTCTTGCTGTGAAGGCGATGGCCCCCGGTGCAGCGCCGGGCATCAAGGACAGCCTGTTGAGATCATCCCATGGCTGGTTGCATGTTGTTTCGTGCCAAGCAGAGGACAAGGGCAGCAGCAGTGGCGGCAGTGGGAGCAGCTTCTTCCCTTTTCACACCCCGGCCTGATAGCAAAGTCCGAGGCCACCACCCTGGGCAGATTACTGCAACCACCGCAGTTCACACGTTCTCTGGCGGCCGGGAGGAGACGCGAGGACTGGCATTGGCAGAGTAACCCAGGAAGCTCGGGTTTGGAATGAGATCAGGTTTCTTAAAGCCTTTCAGCTAAAGCTACAGATCCCAACCACAAGCCCTCCGCCACAAAGACTCCTCACATCATGACTCCGGAACGGTCCACGCCCGAGAGTCCGGCGCTGCGGACCTGGAACGACGAACCTCCGATTCAGCTATGGAGCTCGCGAAGGAAGGACACCCTAAAGCCTACCTTTCGTGGATATGGGGTACCGCAGAGCATCACACACACACACATACACACACACACACACACGCACACGCACACGCACGCACCACAAGGGCCAGTCCTGCTACGTGCACTGCTCGCAAGACTGCTTCAGCATCGCCTCCTTCGCACTGTGAGCAGAAGTAAGTGGCCCGGTCCACAAATGCGTGCAGCAAGTGAGTGTACAAACCTCAGGCCTGTGGCGGCTGCGTGCTCTGCGGCGGCGACGATTTCTGCCCGGGCACGCACTGCGATGTCGCGGCTCGGCAATCGGCAAGACCTAGCAGCAGGGAAATTCCAAAGTCTGTGGCTCTGGGGGATACCGTTCGATTTGACGAAAGGGGCGGGCGCGATCGCAACTCCGTGAAGCGTCAGCCGCACCTGCGGTTTAGATTCAGCAATGAAGGTCCGCAGCCCACTCGTGTCGGCACGCACCCTGTGGTACCAACCGGATGTGGTTCTCACCTGAAGGGCAGCTGTGTATGCGGATGATTGCTGATGACAAAGGAAGTTCGAACCCATTAAAGGCCCAGGCTGACCAAACGTTGCCACGGAGCGTGCGCCGGACCTCGCGACGGGAGATGCGACAGTGCAGCCTGTGCAGCTTGGTCAAGCCGCTCAAGAGATGCAGAATGCTCCAACATAATGCTGTGGGACACGTCCTTCCCGCCCCAATTGAAAGCTGTGATTGAACCAAACTTCGCAGCGCTCTTTTCCAGTGGGCGCTGTCACGCGCGCTGTCTCACTGGTGCTGGGGCTGCTGGGGTTTGCTCTTCCCTGCCTGGCGACACTGCAAGAGCTTCTTAGCTGCTCCCTGGTCCTGTCTCACTGCCCATCAAAAACTGGGTGGAGCCTGCAGCCGCTCCAGCTGGTTTCGTGCCTCGGACTTCGGGAAGTTCCTGCGGCAGTTGGGAGGTTTTGTTGAAGATCTTGACATGTCTGCGACATCATCGAGTCCTGACATCGTAATAGCTCGGCGCAATCTCTAAGAGCCATTCGCCTCTCACCTGAACAGACACCGTGACACCGGAGAGACTCCTCATTAAACACCCCGGCACCACCATAGACCACAAGCTGTTGGCCCTCACTGTCACACATCAGGGCTGCAGCAGAACATCCTACAGTACGGCTACTGGCCCTGCCTGGGTCACAGTTCGGATGAAGTTTTTCGACGTCAGCACGAACTCGTGGTAGAGCACCTGGTCCGCCACATCTGCAAGCGCATGAATTTTCACATGAGGCCCTGCAACAACAAGGACGGGACCCATTCCGGCTTGTGCGTGATGCCCGTGGAAGGATGCAAAGCCACAACCTGGTTGTCTCTGACCTTGCACCAAAACATCGTGAGCAAGTCTGATAAGCAGGCTGTCTTCTTTGCTCCCGAGTTGCAGTCAGGTAGTGGTTGCTCTTCTCGAGGTGGGCAACCTGCATGAAATAGCCGGCCACCAGGCAGCGTCCTCAGCTTTCCAAGTGGAGAACGCAATCTGACATCTTCTCATTGATGGTCAGCGATCATTCAGCGATACATTGTTGAAGTTGATCCGACTGTGAAAACGTCTCTTCGGCAGCAGAGCAGCTGATGTTGGGATAGTATTCCTCCATTGGTGGTGCATGTCAAACCACCGTGGGAGAAGTAAACAGGGCTGACAAGTCCTTGTCTCTGAAGTCCGTGCTGAGCATCTGCCTTGCATCGTTTCGGTACAAACAGCTATTAGAAGCACGGCGGTTGAAAAGTTGAGAACTCTGCAGATTCAAGCGCTCCATGGTTCGCTTGAGCTGCTCGCGCACGTTCTCCGCAGACTTCATGGACCTGGGCTTCAGGTAGGGAATGGTAGCAAGCCCTGTCGTGAGACGAACGAAGTCGCACCTCGCGTTGATGTAGTTGTCGAAGCAGAACTGTGTTGGATCTGCGCCCTCCGTGAGATACTGCTTGTACCTCGGATTCTGTTACTGCGGTCTGGGACGGACCGCTGGAATCTGCCTGAAATACCAGAGACCCCTCCAGAAGGCGAAGATACGCATGGAAGACGTTGAGGAGGGTGAGGTGGTCTCCATCCAAGTGTGTGAAGCGGCCTTTTGCATCGTCAGCTTCCTTGGAGTTCCATCAAGGGCAAGTAAGCGGAGGGGTCAAAGACAGTAGGCTGCGAGCAAGGCGCTTTGCCGAATTCCTTCGGTCTGACGAAAACGTTGGGCACGGAAAGCATGGCGGAGATGGACAGCATCTCGTTGCTGCACTTAAACTTGGGCCTGGGATTTGGGCAAACATGTCCTCATGCAAGGCTTCTTTTCAATGCAAGTTTGGGTGCATTTACGACTCTTCGAGATTGCGCGGTCCCACGAAACAGAGTTGTAGTTGTCTCACAACGGAACTAGAATCTCGAAGATTTCCCAAAAGACCGGCGGCGGCCTTTCATTTGCAGTTTCATGCCCTGCACCGGAATACCAAACCCCAAGAAGTCGGTGCAAGGATGGGTGGAGGACGGTGGGGTTTAGTGGCTGTGGGCATTGGGTTTAGGAGACCTTATATTATAGCCTTATAGGCTTTGAGGGGTTTGAGGTAGTTTCTAGGGATGTCAAAAGAAACGGTGGAAAGGTCTTGTGAGCACCAAGCACGAATCTTGAAGTACACATACTTGGAGAGCAGCAGGTCAGCGGTAACGAACAAGCGCACCGAGGCATCGACGAGTCGATGAGCATCTTCGCCTTTGCTCCGCGCAATCAATGTTTACACCACCTGCTACCTACCATACAAGATTCAAAGTAGCACTGTGTTTTCACAATCCGCATCTGCACAACGCGGCCGGATTTTCAAGGGCGAATCCATACCCTGCACCAAAACACCCGGAACCCTTTCAGTCGTAAACATCGCCGAGTCAATCTGTGCAAAGGCAGGCAGGGAACCAGCTGCGGGTCCAGCGGGAATTCTGCGGCTTGGTCTCCGGCATCTGTGAGATCCCCATCCTTGCTTCAAGCTGCAGGATTTAGAGCCATGTAGTGGCTATGTCAATGTAGTAGGATTCCGCGGCTGCCTACAGGCAGGGGCAAACTTATCTTGCCGCGTGTTTGCAACTCACTTCTCATGGGCCAATGGACGTGTTCTCCGGAAGTTCACAGGGTTTCTACACTTCTCGATTGAAGATGTTGGGCACCCGTCTCGAGTTGGCGAGTGTCCGCCTTGCAGTCAAGCGAAGCTCGAGTTGTGAGTGTCGCCTTTCCGCAAGGGCCAAACTATGCCTTATCAATGGTTAGAAACCAGCAGCCCTCTCAGGCTTAGGTTTCAGGGTTGAGGGTTCGGGTTTGGAGGGTTGTTGCGGCTTCATCACTGCTCGAATTGCGAGTGCGATCCCGGAATCATTGGACCTCGGAGGTTTAGAGTTGAATCCAGGGGTTAAGGGTTTCAGGGTGAGGATTTCAGGGTTGTCGTGATGATGGTGCGCGGAACCGAGGGTGCGGCCGTGTGAACTGGAGGGAGCGAGGCTTTGGGCCACAGGTGTGGTCGCCCCTCCTAACTCACGGGCGAGCAGTCCCCGCATCCGACCCGCCCGATCCATCCATCTCATCACCACCCCCATCCCATCCAATCCCATTCCCATCAATCCCACCCCCATCATCCCCATCCCGCCGTCTGTCCCAGCCCGCCCCAACGCCTAATCTCAATCCCATCCCCGGTCGCAAACATCAACCCTTCGCAAATGCGCTGTCCGTCGTACAGCATTCAAGATTCACTCCGAGCCGTTCCGCTCCTCTGCCCCCCATCGCATCCCGAGCTTATTATAAGCATAAGCACCCACACCCTCACTCACGCCTTCACTCACACGCTCACACACACACACACTCGTACTCCCGTATTACGCGCTTTTCGCCACTCCATTCCCGCCATCCCAATCCCACCCCCCAACCATCCAGACACACACTCCAACACACCACCCACATCAGTCCGCATCCCATCCCGCTCTCTGCCTTTTCTCCCAACCCCCTGCCATCCCCTGCCGGCGATTCATTTCAAGCTGGAGGGTGTTTTTTGGCTTGGCGTCGCCCCCGGAAGGAGTAGAAAGGGCTGGGGGTGGCTCGGCTTCGCTTCGGGCTTCTTTGCTTGATTGTGTCATGGCTGTACAGCGGCCATGCTTGGGGTCTGCACCGTTTCATTTTTTGTCCGATGATACCCGAAGACTGTCCATGTTGGGTCCCAAAACAGAAAGCTGCAGGACGCCTCAACTGCTCTAAAAAGTATCGCTCCAGTCAAGCCATTTCTTTGACCCGAGTCCTGCACAAGAAAGCCAGCCTCACAAGAATCACAGGACCTCCCTCCAAGGTTCCTTCCCCTCATCTGAAACCTTTTCAAAACGTGTCCGAGTTGACACCTGCATTTTACCAGCAGGGCAAACGGGATGGCTCGGAAAAAACACGTGAATTGTTACATGTTGGGGGTGCGTCCTCCTTCCTTGGCCTAAACCCCCCAACAGGTCAGCGAAGCACTGTATGCGCGCTGCGTTCAGTCCGGGCGACATCGTTAAGATGATTCAGGAAGTTCAACATCTCCAACGCTCGCCTGGGCTGCGCAGTCTCTGAAGCAGAGATGATCCTTTCTGGATTCGATCAAAAGCTGCATCCCGGGTGTATCATTGTCGTCCCCAAGGCACATCATGGTTTCTGGTGCGGGAGGATCTAGGAAGTCGAAGTGGACCAGGTCGTCGATTCCCAGCTTCTTGAGGGTCAGCACCTCGGTCGAACAGAAGCCCACCAGTGCAGAGGCTGATCGTCTTGAGGGAGCCACCACAACACCCAGGTTGGACCGTAGGATCTCTGGATAGGTTTGCTCGGCAAGCTCTGTGGTGAAAGCCTGCACCGAGGGTTGCTCCTAATGTTACAAAGCAAGCAGTCTGAGATTGAAAGGATCCTGTGCTGGCTAAGCGCCACCAACAGTCAGCACACAGACTGGCCTTCTCCGTGTACAGACCTCAGCTGCAGAAATCGAGACGACCAAGCCCAGCAGAAACGAAGGTCTGCAAAGCTTTTTGCTTTACGAGATTCGGAAGCACTTCCCTGGCCGTGTGCGGCCGGCACGCCCGGCGCGCTGTGCAGCTGATGCCTGCACGAGGAGCAGCATTCCAACAACTCCGCAAACTGAACCAGCAAGTGAGAGATTGTCACCGTAGCGCTGCCTTCCGAACCAGCCACTTGCCACCGCGTACTGCCCATTGTGCACAGACCCAAGGAGCCGCTGCAGAGCCCCCTCAACCCTCTCTCTGCACTTCCTTCAAGATTCCATGCGAACTAGCTTGGCGATCGTGTCCCCCCTCCCTGACCGAGTTCCAAGTAAAGTTCGGGGCGCATTCCGATGCCCTGACTGTGCCTTGGACACCGGGGAGACCAGGAGCGACTCCACTCGGATTCGCGGGTTGTAGACCTGCCCAGGCATGCTGCGCCACAGCGATGCACGTTCTCTAGCGATTGGCTTCTTCAGTAATCCTAGACGTGGTGTCGTGGTGTTGTGGTCTCCTGCGGTCTTTTGGTTTCCGAAGGAGCCCAAGCAACAACAGGTTGCGAACAGATTCCTTCATTCACGGGGTACGTATCATTTCGTCAACAGAGACAGAAAGCCTTCTGCTTCGCGAAGCCGGGGTCCACCACATAGACAATTCCATCAATAGTGATGGATGTCTCAGCAATGTTGGTCGCCACGACCACTTTCCTGCAAACGGACTGAAGCCCGGCCTTGAAAAATCAACGTTCTCAAGAATATGGGAATCGATCCCACTTCATAGTTTCATGCTTGCCGAATGGGGTGCGCCTGCCGGGTGGACCCCCGGGGAAGCGCGGCCCTGGAGGCGGCTCGAAGATGCGCTGCTGCTGCAGCGGCGGCAGGGAGGAGTACAAAGGCACGGACACCTGAAACGAGCTGAGCTGAGCTGAGCAGTCTTTGCCTTCGGGGCGTGACGTGATAAGCGCGGGGCCAGCTCGCCATTCTCCGGGTTCCTGGAGCTCTCCTTCCGCAGCTGACCTCGGCTCGGACTGGCGCGGAATGGCAAGGACAAGACTAAAACTAAGGCTTCGTTGTGCCGTGGAGGGTATGGTGACCACGTACCCTTCTGCTAGTCTAAACAACCAGACACTGCTGAGCCCGCCACGGCAAGCTTGCTCGATCTCCTCCTCACCGGTCAGGAAGAGCAGGATATCTCCCTCGGGCTCCGAGTTGTGGATCCTGGCGCGGCTGCACTTCGCAGGCTTCAGCACAGACGTGGAGAGAAATGGTTGCAACCCGGTCGCTGCACCACTGTGCGCATGGCCGCTTCAAGGTAGTCCTTACGGACCCGGCGAACACACAGAGGCACGCACACACGCACAAACACACACGGAGATAAGGGGTATTT